TTCATTAATCCTGAAATTGGAAATCCAAACAGGATTCTTTAGTTCCAATTTAATTGGGGCAATTCTCTCATCAATCAATTTCTGAAACTCTTCCAGTGTAATATGCGTTTCATTTGTGAGACCATGTGTAACGTGGTCATTAGTTTCAAGTTTATTTTCCTCTTCAGAAACTTTAGCAACGATACGGAAAGTATTTTTTCTAGCATCCAATGGAAACATCACGAGAGGCCCTAGTAACATAGTATATTTCATAAAAATATTTATATTGATGAAAATGAAACGTGTAAAATGCAGTAAATCATAATGGTACCTTCACCAAGCGCGAAAGCAGTTACGTGGTCGTATTTAACCAATTCATGATCAATTTCTACATCAGCCAAAGCCCATGAAGATTTCAGTGATTGACCTAGGAAAAATATATTTGGATTTTTAATAAAGTGAATGATAAAAATTAAATAAGTTTATTCATATAATTAATCTCACCTTCATAAGTCCAACCCTTTGTTCCTTTTCTGACGGCAGAATGACAACCATCACATCCTACTAAATATTGACAAATAATTTCTTTTTCCATGTTGTTCTTTTTTACAATAGCAACGATATGGTCATCTTTCTCTTCATACTTTATTAGTTCCGTGCCGAATTCAATATTAGAAACTTGTTTCTTTCCCAATGATTTCTTTTTCTGTAGAGCGTCATTTAAATAATCCATAGTTTTATTTTGACGGTTCAATAATCCAAATGCAAAGGGATTGTCCATGGTACTAAGGTCGATCTTGATCGGATCATCATGAACATTTTGGTATGTACAGAAATGATTCACTTTGACACCATGTTCCAAGAATGGTTCTAAAAGACTCCTAAAAGAAACAAAGAAAAAAAAATGAATAAACAAACATATGTTAATTGAATATAAAGAACAAATAAATGAATACTAAATTACCTATTATCTAAAATTTCCATAGTTCTTGGTGCTACCAAAAGAGCCTTTGAAAAATTGGGATGCTTTTCGACCTTCTCAATGATGCGGTAACTGATTTCAAATTCAGCCAATTCATTGGCTAAGAATAGGCCAACGGGACCTTTTGACCAAAAAAATTGATATTAGGAAAAAAAATTTCAACAAACTTTTATTTAAAATACTTTTTTTTACCTGCGCCACAAATTAGCACATCTACAGTTTGTTTTTCCTTAACTAATGAAACCATAATTGTTAAAGATAATTGTTAGAGATAATTCTTAGAAATAATATTGTTAAAATAATTTTTAGAGATAATTCTTGGAGGTAATTGTTGTTGAGGATTGTAGTTTTTGACAAATTCCAATTATCCAGCGCTCTTGATCATTTCTATTTATTTATTTATTCCAGCATAAGTTTCTTACAAGATTCGGATAAATTCCAAAAATTCGGCTAAATTTCAAAAATTCGGATAAATTTCGGTATTTGACCAACGATAAATAGGTACATTAAGGGTAATCTCATGATGTACGTACAAGCCACAATTATGTTTTTTGAGATTGGACAAAGGCAAGTATGCGTATGTATGTATTAACCAATGCAAATCACCATATAAGTTTTACAAGCCATAAAAGATATGACGCATGTGTAATAAATTAGGAAAAAGCAAGGTATAACAGGAATAGAGATGTGATCTGTTATCTGCTTAATTCAAAATTAACAGATATCCGAATTCGACTAATTATGAAATTAAACCGAAACATTTGAAGTCCGATTACATATGCCATTCACGAACCTAGCATGACCACCAAGATCAGTTACGTGCGAGTTTCAACGATTAATATGACGATTTCTGTATCATATATAAAGAAACTTTGATTTTTTTTTCCATATCTAAATATCTAAGAAAATTTTTTTGCTATACATCAAAAATCAACAAGAAAAGATCTGTATTAAACAGTTGAAGGAGGCATAATTCAGGGAACGCAGGGCGTTAAAAAAGTGGGAAATCTTAATACACATACTATCAAAAACAAAGAAAAATGTCAATAGATAATAAGCAGTGCATAT